CTGCAAAGACTCAACGTCAGCCAAGGCGAGTGAGAAAAGGAAGGGTGCGCCGCTCTACATTGTGTACAATTGCGCGTGTGAGTTCTGCATTGGCAATACCACAACTATATCAACAACACGCTCGGTGAGGTGAGCATCTACAACATATCATCGATACCAAACCCTCACGCACTACTCCTACTACTACTACTACTACTACTACTACTCTGACTACTGCTCCTGCTGCTCCTCCTGCTCCTCCTACTCTGATCCTGTTTCTGGTGCGTCGACTTACATGTCAGCTCAAGAGAAAGCCACACTAGGGCCTCTGCCGGTCACCAGCTTATACATGACAACAAAGTTGCGCGTGCAGTATATGCTCTGATGTGCCGACAAGTATACACATCGTACTCGCTCCCAGAGGCCTACGTCAGTTGAATGAGTTGTTGTCCCATGTTGGCACCGCTCTTGCAAGTCTCAGCAACACTCCTGCATTAAGAGTATGATTGACTGCAAAACTTCGACACTGCACCGGCAGAGCAGCAATCATAATTGCAAGACACTGGTGGATAGCTACCCTCAAGGCCCAAAGCCAGTCCTTAGCCCCTATGAGACTCGCCGGAAGAGCGCACATGTCAGGTTGCTGTTGCAGCTCAGGCTGCTGCCCTCGTGGGCCCAGCAAAGGCTCCGGCTGTGGATCCCCCAGAATTGTGAAATCCGAATTATAACTTTATCGTAAATCATGAGCAGCAGTGTAGCCTTGACTGTTTCCACACACCGATGTGCTAGACGTTGGCAGCCTGTGCAATCGTGATGATGCGAGGTGGAAAAGCCGAAGCCCAAGAAGTCAGCGTGATGTGCTCAGCTGGCTTAGCAACAGGAGTTGTGACAGGACTCTACTTGTTCGATTCCTTATGCCCCGTCACTGCCATGAGCTGCTGCTGGTGTTGCAAGTCGCTTGTTCCTAGGCCCGCTCCGTGGATGGCTGCTCGAGCGGTGTTTGCCAACAAGGTCACTGCATAATGTGATGAGCTGTTCCTCACTTCAGTGTGTGTTTCTGCCGATGAAAAGGACGGTGAAGGTTCCAAAGCTTCTGAACCAGTCCTGATCTCAGCACAATGAGGATGCAGCCTTCGTCCTGAGCATCTTGTCAAGACCCGGCAGCAGTGACGAGACGGTTTCTGGCTGCTCTGCAAGTGCAGGCCGCTCCAGCCGGTCAAGAAGGGAAAGAAACCAAAGACAACAAAGACAGCAAAGACAGCAAAGACGGCACGGATTTTCTCAGTTGTTGGTGTCTCCTCTCTTGGGAGCATCTGGTATGCCAGGTGCCAAGAACATCAAGAAGCTTGGCAGTTCGGAGCTTTCGGAGCCAGAGCCTCAGCGTGCAGACTTACCTATCTGTTCCTTGAAGGGCTGCCATTTTCCCACCGTTTCCGGAGAGTCCCCTAGACTCTCCTGCCTTCAGGCTGTCGAAGGCCATCGCAGAGGATCGGAACAAGCTTCGCCTCTTTGTCGTGAAGGTCGGAGCTCTTATTGGCGAGCCTGTCCAAGCTATGATCGAAGCGGCGATTGCTATCGCTCAAGGCGAAATCAGACTTCGAAGATCGCAAGGAGAAGGCATCCTGACGTGTTCTGTGTGTCTGACTTGGGCCAAACACAGCAGAAACGGCTTTGCTGCCCTGTCCGGCAGATGTCCCTGTGCCCGGGTTTTGTGGTGGTCTCTGTGGCCACAAATTGCCTCACGGTCAGGCGAAGGCTTTGCACCAGTCGGTCCAGATGGGCGAGACGGACGAGAATGAGTCCCTTTTCTGTTCTCCGCGCGTCACGTTATCAATTGATGCTCCGTGGCCAGTGACATGCCGAGGTACTACTCAGCTTCCGTCGGGGAGGAGATGGGGCCAAATCGATGCTACAAGGTGGAGGACGGCACCGGATCATTATTACATCGTTGCATACGGCGACTGTCGGCGGCAAGTACGGGCTGAAATGCCAGGCTGCCATCGGCAGAGGAGTCTTCTCCAGCGTGTATCACTGCAAGGGCTTGAAGGACGGTGTGCCGGGTTGAGGCTCGGTTTTGAGACGAGATGTGCGCTGCAGGACGGCAAGGACTATGCCGTCAAGTTGATCAGGGCGAATGGAATGATGCGTCGGGCCGCTGACAAGGAGGCCTGTGGGGCCTTTGGAAGATGTGAGAGGGAGACGAGGACGACTTCCTTGTCGCTGCGCAGGTGGAGATGTACAAGCGCTTGGAGAAGAACGGCGCAGAGGATGCTGAGGTGCTTAACGCGCTCTTATACTTGCAAGCGAGCCCTCGACGACACCAGTCCCATGTCATGAGTCATGAGCTTCAAACTATCAGGGATTCAAGCACGTCATCATCCTCTCCGACCTGCAGACCTTTGAGCACAATGGCCACTTAAGCATCTCGGGCTTGGTTTTCTTGGGATCAAAAGGGTATCCTGCATGGGCAAGTCTGTTAAGGTCTCGTCTTTGACCTGCTCAAGTGCGACATGCGCTTTGCCTTGCAGAAGTGCCCTGGCTGATCATCTGCGGACTGTTTGGATCTGTTTGTCGTGTGAAAGGTGGGCAGTGAGAGGTGCGCAGATGTCACACCATGCTCCATGCTGTTCTTCGATGAGTCATCGGGCGAAACTGGCTGCAGGTACGGCATGGGTGGAGGTCTTCCATTACCGACCCTGCAGCAGTATGTAAGGCTGAGACGGTGTCAGCTGAAGGGATTTTGAGTGAGCTTCTGGCTTTTCAGGAATCCAGGTGCAAATAAGCTATGCTGCTGCAAGTGTGTTGACCAGGCAAATTCTGTTGGGACTTCGCGCGCTTCGAGCTGCAAAGGCGGGAGAACTGAGCTGTTTTACATCTTGCGAATCCGGTCTGCCAGGTCATCCACGCAGATCTGAAGCCAGACAACATCCTCATGACACTGAACAAGGCCCGACTTCTTCTCTCGAGCTGAGAGTGGGAGAGATGAGTGATGAGCGGTCTGTGAGGCCGAAATCAAAATCTGCGATTTCGGAAGTGCCATGGACGCCTCAGAGCAAGTGAAGACTGCGTGCGCTTTGGGCCGTACTCAGGGTTAGAGTTGTGTAATGTTCACGGCACGCCGCCAGGTACCTCCAGCCCCGCTACTACCGAGCTCCAGAGATCATGCTCGGAGTTCCGTACGACATGGGCATTGACATGTGGAGTGCGGGAGCCGTGGGCTTCGCATCGTGTCCTTTGCGCCTTGCCCATCTGTGACCGGAAGCGATTAGATTGCCTCAGAGCCCCGCAGGAACTACCACGTACGAGCTAGCCACAGGGAAGATCTTGTTCACTGGGAAGACGAACAACCAGATGGTGCTTTGCTCGGCATGCCGCGTGAAGAAGCATACCAGCTGAGTCTATGTGCTATACCAAGATGAACAAGATGATCTCCGTCGTGGGGAAGTTTCCAGAAAGGATGTGGAAAGTCGGAGAATTTGCGAGGCACGTTTCACGAGTGCATGCCTGCCTCTGAATGGCCGTGTCTACATGACGCCCCTGCAGGAAGCACTTCAATGAGAATGGCGACTTCATGAGCAAGGACCAGGGTTCAAGAACCGGGCCTGGGTATGCCTGGGGCATGTTTCATGAAGTGCCGAGCCGTGTCAAAACTCAAGATCGCACTTGAGTAACGAGAGACAGGTTTGATGCTTGCGGCTCCAGTGCGAAGCAATTCGCGTTTGGAGCCCCCGGCCCCGCGGACGGCCGTAGTCGCAGGACCCCGACTCTATCACTGGACTTCCAGATGTCGTACAGCTGTCCGGGATCCCGGGGCCGAGTTGGTGCAAGGTGGTCATACCGCTACCACCGTCTTGTTGAATGGCACATACGCTTCCTTCGGATGCCGATGAGGTCAAAGCCGACGAGAACAGTCCTGAATCTGCTACAGGTGCACCAGACATTTAAGTAGATTGAGACCTCAGAAATGATGATCTGAGAGGCAGAGCTGAAGCACCCCAATGCCGGCGTGGAGCGCAAGGACCACGAGAAGTGGGTCGTGCAGCTTGCAGAGTTGGCCGGAGCCTCGTTGGCTCCACCTGAAACCGGCCTGCAGACAAAAGCCGAGGTCAGCAACTGCTGCCGGCTGGACCCACAAGAGAGGATGAAACCCGGTGAGGCGCATCCGACGGGCGCTGCAGGCATTTCGTGCACAGTGTCATGGCTCCAGGCCTTGGAGCTGCAGTTCTTCAAGCCTTCGAGAGACAGCTGAAAGAGAGGCCTTGTTGCTCGATCCAACAGTCTGCATGGCCTCCTCTTGGCCTCTTGCGACGGCCCGTTGTGCTGAGTTCTGCCTCCCTTCCGACGACGTCCAGATCCTGCCAGAGTGCTAGCCCCAGGAAGAGATGGGATATATGGGGTTTAAGAGAATGTTGTAAAACCTGGGCGTAACTGAAGCAAAACCCACCAAACCTTTCGAAGCTGCAAAGAATGTGCGGGCTGCACAGAAGCGCAGAGGAAAAGGAGGCCGGTGTGCTTCTTCTGACAAAAGTTTCAGAGCAGGTGGCAGACAGAAACTTGAGAAGGCTTTGGGAGCTGTAGATCATCGATCAAGGGTTGTCCCAGGCATCCGTTCAAGTCAGCTTTGGTCATCACACGGATGATTTCTGCGGCCGAGATGAGCTCATGTAGAAACCCTGCTGCTCTTAGTTGCCTTTGTATAGGATTTCGCGAGTGTCGTGCAGCACCAGGTCTGCAGTACGTTTTGTTGTAGTATGACATAGTTCGGCAGTGCGGGTGAACTCCAAAGACTATCCATGCTCTTGCTTCTGTGTTTCCTTCGTTTCCAGAGCTAGGGCTTATGGCCCGCGGTCGAGTGCGAGAAGTGCGGGATGGTGCAAAGACGATGGCCATTGTTGCCTTCACAAGGACAGCAGCTTGCACATGCTGTGCCGGAGTCACGCGTTGGATGGGTTGATCTGATCATTCGGATTTCTGGGCGTTGACAGAATCACATGCATCGCAAGAAAGCCGCCTCCTCTGCTCTTTAGCCAGAGCTTTCCGAAAGCGGTGTCCAAGCTCAGTCCAGGCAGCGCAAGGCCCTGGCCGTGCGCCATGAGCTGTGACTTGGTCATCCACCATGGGCACCATGCAAGGAAAAGCAAGTGCTCCTTGCAGCCTTGCAGTGGGTGCCCAGAAAGTAATGTACTTAGAATGTCTCTTCGACAATGCCCCTTGATGCCCTCCCGAAAGTCTGTTGTGACTAAATTACTTGGACTGCTTGTCATGATGTGTGCCAACCCCAGGTGCGAGTATTCCAGTTCCGTTCCGCTTGAAGCTATGAATGGAGGCACGATGGCAGTATATGGCAATCAAATGCCCTACTATGAAAGGGGCCTGGTGTCATAATGAACAGCGGTGTCTCCGGACAGCATCTAAACGGATGGACCATATTTGGTACACAGCTGCATGTCTTTGCCTCAAGGCAGGGCTGGTCGATGCCTTCCAGGCCGGACACTGACGTCCTTTGCCGGTCCCGCAGCCATTGCCTTTCGAAACACTCCTAAAGTCAGAGTCGCATCCATCTTTTATTGTAGTGTAAATGCTGCCCAGTATCTACGTGAATGCAGTAAGATACTCTGTCAGCGATGTCTGTTGCGATGAGTCACTTAAATCCTGGATGCAGTGCAAGTGGCGGCGTAAGTTTAGAGAACCCTCGTCCTCACCGGTCGTAGGGGCTGCCGTGATCTGCCGTTAAGACCGATCCTTTCGGATAAGAGCTCGGCTCGCGGACTGGATCCCCTGAGCTGTAGACTGAAGTTACTTCTACTTATAAACCTTGCGCGTTAAGCCTCGCGCCTGTGCATCAAAGTGCCCAAACTAGCTCAGTTCCGTACAGGGTCAGTTGTGATGGCGTTCGTAGTCTCTCGTCTGATTCATCGTGCTGTCAGCTTGACCTCCCATTCCCAACTCGCGCTTTGCCAAACTGCAATGTGCGAAGATCTTGTGAGCACTTCGACCTCTTCGTCACTTCCGGCCGTGATTGCGAACTGCATGCTCACAAGTGCGAGGCCCTTTCTTTGCCTGTCATGACCATGCTGCTGTAAGGGGGGTGCATTGGCTTTATGGCTTCTCATTTTGCCCATAGCACCTTCGAAGTGGTCATCGCTGGTGTGCACTGGATGGACCTCTGCATTCGCTACATGCGCTAGTCCTGTCCCAGCTGAGTCTGCAGTAATCTGTCAGTTGTGGCTGATGTCACAGCTTCACAGCTAGTTGTTGCGAGTGTTTGCGAGTCGAGCATGGGCCACACTCCTTCCAGGAACAGGTCACAATCGACCTGCGCCGGCAATAGCTCCATGTCGACAGGGTTGGAGGAAGTGCTGCAGACCATGTCCTTGTTCTGTTTCTCTGCAAGTGAATCAACTTTCTGGTATTTCAACAGAGGCGGAGTTCTTTGCCACATACGACAAGCTATTCTGCCATGGGCAAGGAAGAGGTGACATGTGGATTCTTCGTTTGCTTATGCATGCTTGCATGCAAGGCCCATCCACTTTGCAAGAGCGCTTCTCTCGACATGCGCAATCAAATCAAGCCTTTCTGCAGCTTCAATGGTTTGATTGGAGAGCAGGCACTTGGACGAAGAAGTGTTGGAGCCTTTACCAATGTCTTGATGCCAGCTACCTCTCTCAGATGCGCTGGTGTTATATGAAGATCTCGACTTCATATTCATAGCTTATTGAAGCACCGGACATCCCGCGACAAGTCGACCCTTCTACTCGTAGGGCTGTGAGACACTCCATGGCTCGTTCTGCGAAAGCCGAGGTGCCACGGCAGCGCTGCAGCTGACACTCTGAGCGAGGCGCCGCAGTTGCAATCTCTTCGGAGGCACTGCTTAGGAGGCATTCAGTGGTGTTTCGTTTCACCGTCTCTGTGGCATTCGCCGGGATGTGCAGCTTCCTTCAGAAAAGTTGCTCTGCATCAGGACGGGCAAACGTCTAGTCGCTTCAATGCCGTAGATGTGCTTCATCCAGTGGAAGCTGACGCCATCCATTCAGCAGCGTTCACGATACTGTTGTAAGGACCGGCGGGTATGTGCCTGCTGCTTGCGGACACAGGGCAAAGAAGAACAGTATTGCTCAGTGAGACTGTTGGCCTGTGAGTCCATGTTCCTGACGCTCGCATGTGTAAATTGCTGGTGGTGCACGGCTCACGAGGCTGAAATGATGTAGCTGCCTTTGATCGCTTGCCCAAAGAAGGCCTGGGTAGAGCGCTGGTCGAGGACGCTTGTGAAGTGGATCAACCCCCATGGCGAAGCAGCGCGCTGACGGAAAGCTGGCTGAATCTGAAGTCACCATAGATCTCAAATCTGAGGATGGTTGCCCAGCAGCCTGGCCAACTACTTTCATCAACCTCAAATCCAAGCCAAAGGGCCAGAACGAGGTCAACCCATGGGAGGACATGAACAAGATGCTTGCTGTCAGGGTAGCCTACGACAAGGAAAATGCCAGAATCTCCTGAAGCTGGGGAGACCACTGTAGAGGCACTATGCCTAGGAATGTGTGCAGATTCCAGCGATCGGCACCCTGACGCCTGACTGCTGGCTCTTGCCGGCTTTGCACTAGGCACCCTGAGAAATGACTGCTCCATGAATCTGCCGGAAGTTATACACCGAACACAACGAGGATCGCCAAGCCGTCTCAGCACTGGCTCGAGGGAATCGGCAGGGGGGGCCTCTTTCAGAGCTCTGGATCATGTGCAAGTCATTGCAAGTCAGAACCCGGAACTCGACGGCCATGGTAAGACTCCCAGACATACGGAGACACTGGAAGAACTGACTCCCTTGGAGCTCCATGGCTCGGCTGGCGCCGGAAGCCCAAAAGGGAAAAGGGGGTGGAGTCTGCAGGCTCAAACCTCCGAGTCGCTGGACGCAGGCCACTGGAAGATAAGCGCGCCTGGCCTGCCTTAGGGCTCCAGCCAGATCAAGGCGAGGAGCTCGCCGGGATCTGCAGCGTTCCGAAATCAGATCCTGGACAGGTGGTCAAGACCACGAGGCCGGTTTTTTTTTGCGCAGCGTGAGAGGAAGCGTGGCTGCCGGGTGACGGAGTTGGTCCCTGTCTCTCCCATCTCCGCAGCATCCCGGCTCGGCAGCGGGCCCGGCCCATCCCGGCCCTAGCCAAGATGGGCATCCAAGGGCTCCTCAAGGCTCTGGAGGATGTGCAGCGCGAGTGCCACGTCAAGGCCGTGAGTTCGAGCTTGTCCGAACAGTTACTGATGCATGCGAGCTTTGCACAGGGATCTTTGGGAACTCTTCAAGAGCTTTGACAGGAGTTTGCTGGAAAAAGAGCAGCCATTGATGCTCATGGTTGGTTGCATGCTGCCTTGGCAGGAAGTGATCCTGTCTGCAGTGATACGTGCATGTGCTAGTCTGTGGCGATGAGCGCATCTTTTCACTCACGATTTCGCTGACCCTAGGGGCTGTGGACGTTGAGCTCGAGGTTGATGACCAGATTCATGTCCGATATTGTGCGAAAAGGATCTCGATGCTGCAGCTTTGCAGCACTTGGCTCGGTTTGTGCAGCTGCTTGACCTTGATACTGATATATGACGTATCAACAGTCAGGCGAAGATTTGGTGTCGAGCCGGTCTTTGTGTTTGATGGCGCAGCGCTCCCCGCTTTTGCCTCAGACCTCTGATGTCTTCGATGACCTCGTGTTGCGTTGTCTAAACGTTTTGAATCCTAGGGCGGCCTACCTATGCAAGTCTGAGGCAAAGGCGGCATTGCTACAGGAGCGGCGTCAGCGAAGGGAACGCATGCGAAAGGAAGGCAGCGAAGTCTTTGCAGATTGTTTTGGCGCTCACCTTGGAATGGGCTGCTGGATTTTGCGAGTGCAAGTGCTAGGCGAGCTGCGCCTGAGTGAAGGAGATTTCGCGCAGGCAAAGTCATGCCTTGCCCAGGCGAAGTGGTGGATGAACCCTAAAGTATGGTGCCACAGAATGCACCCCCTGCCAGGCGGTGGAAATCAAAGACCACCAGATCGATGCACCTTCTCTGCATGGGCCCACGTTCACGTGATGTCAAGGTCTTTCTAGTTTGGCGAAATGGGCGATGTCTGCTGCCAGACACCTTGTTGAGTCCATGTTTGTAGATTTGAACGCGCGTGGGGAGTTGACAGCACCTGTTGAGCTCTGCTGCTTTGCTGTCCTATTTGCCAATCCTTCCCGTTCTTGTGCTTTTTCTACCTCATGCAGCCTGTGAGGGACGATCCAACTCAGCATGGATGCTTCTCCTGTGATAGAGTTTCTCATGCTAAGCACCTTTGAGACCACGCCCCACCAACACCAACATGTAGGATATTGTAGGATCATTCCAGATGTCCAGAAGTATTGAGCACCCATCCACATTTAAGCCTCAGAGACCCGTAAGCGTGCACGATGTCAGATTATACGGCTGCGGAATGCAGCGGACGCATAGCACGCTTCCGCCCTTTGTCGTCTGCTTGGTGCCGAGGATGTTGTGCGCTTGCTTGCTGCGGAAGAGGTCAGGCGACCTGGCTGCAGAGCCATCGTCTCTGTGTCCTGCTCGCTTGCGTCAGCTGAGTACTGCTGTCCCAAGCAGGTATATCCATGCGCCGTGTGAAGCCGATGCTCAAATGGTGTATTTGGCTTGGCATGGTTACGTTGACTTCTGCATCTCTGAAGACAGCGATCTCCTGGCGCTTGGCTCCCCCCGAGTGCTCTACAAGCTCCGTGGCGATGGACATGGCAGAGAGATTATCTTGGATGATGCGCTGAATGGTCGAAGCTTGGAGGACTTCCAGGCGATTTGCATCTTGATGGGCAACTCGGCGAGTCCTTTCAGATTTCAGCTTCGTCTTCATGTTCTTCTGTGGTATGAGCAGGTAGGCATAGCGAAGAGGAATTTCAAGCCCTCCTCTTGATGCTGATGTTGTGTTCTCTGTGGTGGTCGCTTCCGGCATGCTGGATGTGGAAGTTCAAGGGTTCCTCATCTCTTTTCCCAAGGGAAGAGAATGAAGAGGTTGGTGTGAAACAGAACTCAAGGCTCTGTGAGGGTTCAGAGCAAGCAACTAGCTCAACTCGCTCGTCCACTATGTCGGCTGCCGCAGGAGGAAATAGGAGTGCCACGAAGAACCATGCGACGATTTCAGTTGCCGGTGGTGCTGCCGATGGGGAGTGGGGGGTGTTGAGTCATTGGGCGTGCTCATGTCAGACCCGGCTCGTTTACTGGAATCTTGAGTTGCATCCCCCTGGCTTCGGGGCTGTCTTCGTAGCACCCCGCTCGGGATGGGTCGCCCGAAGCAATGGCTATGAGAGTTTCAGGCACATCACAGAGAGAAAATCCGAAGCACACAACTTCTATTCGCAGACCGCAGATCTCGCAACAAGAAACCTGCAACCTCAGGTTGCGACTACTTGCCTCGTCTTCGCAGGGTTGGGCCCGCACTAGCAGTCCAAGTTGTGGCGGCGCGCGGCTGCGAGGCGGAGGCCGTTGCCAGGGCGGCTTGGCTTGGCTTTGGCCAAACCCGAACAGAACTTCAAGCGAGGCAGATGTGGATTCCAGGCTAAGCCGGCTCGCGTCATGTAGTAAGGGTTTGCGGCCATTCCGTTGCAGAGTCCCAGGAGCTGCGGGTTCTTGGAATCGCTGTGCCGTCGGAGTACGCCGAGCACTTCCGGCTGGCGAGCAAGGTCCTTCAGCTGCAGCCGGTCTACGAGCCTCGTAGCGGCCGGCAGATTCCACTTTGGAGCTCGCAGGACTCGAGAGTTTTGAGCTCCAGGCTCCACCAGGAAAGACCGAACTCGGATTTTTCTCTGGTTTCTTCAGGAGCCGCACGCGGTGCCTGTGCAGCTCGCGAGTGCCTGTGCTGCATTGCTTTTCCCTTTACTTGGGGCAGCTTCCCTCAGTAAGCATCCACGTGTCTCGTGGTGCCGCCAAGGCCATACCGGGACCTCTGCTCCGCAGGAAACTGATGCTTCATGCCGCGATGGTTTGGTCCCGATTGAGGCGCCTCGAGGTCGCGTGAGTCGGAAGGAATCCCCCCGCCGCAGCCGCAGCCGCACCCCTGCACGACGAGAAGGCCTGGCTACAAGAGAGCTTGAGGGGGTTTAACTTGCCCCAGGCCTCCCACATGCTAAAGAGACTGAGTTGAAGAAGAGGAGAGAGGTGCGGGGTGCTCATCGGTGCTCGGAGCCTCTGCCTGGGTTTCAGGCGTGGCGAGGCAGGCCAGGGCTAGGACTCGTAGAGAGCGCTCCGCAAGTCCCAGGGCTGGCACCGGAAGGTAGGGCCCCGGCACGTAGCAAGTCAGGTGCCAACTTTGCTGAAGTCCGGGTGCTCACATCGGGTCCGGACTCAAGCCCAAGAAAGGAAAGAAAGCACGAGAGTCTTCGGAGGATGCTCAGCTGTGCTGTGCAGCCGAACCAACTAGGACCGGGTTAAGTAGCACGAATTTGCGTGGAATGGCATGCCAAATTCACGAACTGTGCACATCTCGGAGCGAACGGCTCGAAGTGCCGGGGGTTGGGAATGCCGTGCTGTGGTGCCCTGCGGAGAAGGATAGAAGGAGAGAGCCTTGGGTGAGAAGTGCTTACGACGTCACCCCTCACACGAAGAGCGGCCGCAGTCTGTTGTGTGGGTCGGGCTGGCACTCCTCAAGTCTTGCAGGTGGCAGTGGCAGCGCATTTGTCAGCGACTCTTTCGAACAAGCGAGGCCGGACTCTTCCCTTTTTTGGGGAGCCAGAAAGGAGCTGAAGCTGGCCTTGGTCAGGTCCACTCAGCAGGGCGCGATGACCCTGGAAGAATTCATTCGTCGAGAGCGTGTAGAACGTACGGGAAGCTCACAAGCAGCTTGTCTCTATTCAGTGCCAACGGCTATCATGCCAAGAGCAGGGGAGCTGAGGGTGCTGGTGAGCATGGAGACGGAGACCTTGCATGCCCAGCCTTGAATCTTGGCATGACACGAAAGCAGACGTCAGAGAGAGTGTCTTCAAAATGTTGCGGGTGGAGATGAGCTTCCAAGCATTGGGTTTGAGGGGCTGCTGGAACCTTTCTACATTTGTTGCAAGTGCATTGACTTACACAGTAGTGACTCGCCCCTAGTCATTTACTTTTTCATTGCGCTTTCCCGGTCACACCCACTTCCATTTTCAGGAGTGCAAAAGAAGGAAAGTCGCGCTTCTTTGGACGGCAGCACTCCAAAATGGGCAGCCTGTGGTCGGACTGAGTCTTATGGAGGTCTTCGTGCGCGAGACTGAGAGACGCTAGGACTGCTAGGAATCTTTACAAGATCAGGGCTTAGCGGCTGTTGCTGCAGAACATCTGCAGTCAGAATGTCTGATCAGATGTGTAACATACCTCCCAACTGGAGGATGACGAGGTATTTTGTAGTCATCCCCGAGGGGCCTTGCGCGAGAGGCTCCCGCACGGGCCTGTACTGTGAAAAGCCGTGGGCCCCTCTTCGAAAGGGCCTTTGCATGATGTTCTCACTCATGGCCCCTCGGTCTCATGATGTCGCATGTTTCATGATGCTCTACAACCCTTTTGCTCCGTGTGTCTGGTCTGCAGGATGCCGCTGAGCCTTCTGCTGCGAGCAGGCCGGGCAGGGCCTTTTCCAGTCCAGGCTTTCAGTTCTCAGGCGTTCAGAGGCCGGGTTCGGGTTGGGCATTCGGACGTGGAATCGAGCTGTTGCGGAACCTTGCTCCCCGAGTACAGTACGTCACTCACTCACGCACTCACTCCCTCCCTCACTCCCTCACCCGGATTGATGAATTAGGGAATCGTTGCAGGCGAACCAGGGTGCTTTTATCAGTGGATGTTTCCGGTGGTTTACCGACCTGGCCAAGTTAAGTACGCAAGCAGGCGTTGGTTTCGATAAGCGGCGAACCCGAATCAAGCCTTGCAACGTCGAAAAGCTTTCGACTTTTCGGGTTTTTTGCTCTTATCCAGCCTGTTTTTCGCTTTTCGACTTTTCGACCGTTAGCGTTTTCCACAGTGTGGACTTTTCGTGTCCAGGTTTTCAGCTCGAGGGCAGGGTAGGGACTAGCGAGGCCCAGCACTGGAGTGGGGTGCTGGGCTGTTGTTCCAGGCGCAAGTCTAGCCAAGCCCGGGGCTAGATGGGGGGTTGGCAGGCCAAGATGTTGGGCCGGATAGTGGTAATGGCTAGTGGAAAGATTGGCCTAAGTGTAGGTAGGCCTGTGGAGCTAGGCTTGGCCGGCTATGCGCGCCCACAGCCACTCGCAAACACAGTGGACGACCTGGAAGCTTATGAATGCACGACTAGGTGTAGTGTAGGCATCTTCATCGCCTTGTGAGCCGCTGAACTGGAAAACCTGGAGCCCTAAACATCCAGCTCGTTTCCTCTTTCAACTCTGCGAGCAGAACAAGGCTCGCATAGCCAAGCTCCAAATTCCGAATCCTCGACTCGCAAATTACCAAAGACTCAAGCCTTGTCTCACAGCCTCAGCCCTTCTCCGTTTTCCAAGCCCTCGATATCCCGAAGAACTCAAATCGCTCCCCGTTGCAAGGCCACAGCGGGAACCGGACAGCCCAGAGCCCAGCGCGACGTTTCTGGTCATCACTGAAGATTCTCGATTCCGGGCTTGCTTGCTGAAAAACGGCTTCGCAAAAGGGGCTGGAGGCCATCGAGTCCTTGGTGAAACTGCTGTGGGTTTGAGCAAGCTCCAGAACCCCTCGACCCCCTTGAACTTGGCTCTGCCTGGCTGTGGTTTCTGATTTTCGACTCCCAGGATGGGACCACCGTCCCATCGACGAGGAAGCTTGGGCCTCAGGCTTTGAGGTATTCCGAGGTTTCATGACCATTGCAGCACCAGCACTGTCACGATTATCACGAGTCCATTGCTGTGAATGCGTGGTAATGTTCTTGGGGTACAAAGGAAGAACACACTAGCGCTAGTGAGGCTAAGACAAGATCCATTGAGAAGATTGCTCTCTCTCTCTCTCTCTGTCTCTCTCTCTCTCTTTGCGCTCTTTTCTCGCTTCTGGTGCTGTGAAAGCTTGAAAGCAGCTGAAGGCGTGGAGCGGGGGAAGAAAGGGTGGTGGCCTCAAGACGTAGGGCACCAACAGAAGCGCCCTAGGTTGAGCCTGGAATGCACCCCAGGCTACGGCGAGTGGTCCTGGAAAGGAGGGAAGGGAAGCAAAGGCCGTGGAAGGCCGGGCCGCAGCAGATCCGGAGGGTACCGGAGTGTGATATATATATATATATATATAAACTCGATCACCGACTCTACGCCGAAAGTGATGGCAGGCGGCGAAAAGGAGAAGGGAAATGGGTTCCAGTCTCAGAGAACATGTTCATGCTTGGTCTATCTGTTCCTCTTCGCTTGAATCGAGGCTCCGAAGGGAGCAAGAGACGCGCCTGAAGAAGGCAGTGCCCCAGCATGTGCCCAAGCGAGATGCGAGCTTCTCAGCAGTTGACGGCATCTGCCAGGTTGGGATGGTGGTTGGGAAGAAGGCAAGCTGCAGTCGGTCTTTTGAAGCCTGAGCCGGAAGCCTGCGACAGTGCTGCTGCCTTTGCTACAGGCTCTGACAGGAGAGCGGGAGACCTAGCAACGGAAGCCGCCGCTTGCAAGTGATGCTGCGTGGTTTCTCATGGTTCCCCAGGGCAAAGATTCCTTCCGTCGTGGCAAGGCCGTTGCAAGTGAAAGTCGCAGTGTGAAGACATGCGGAATCCTGTCATGGTCTCTTGGCTCTCCGAGGGGTCTTCTGGAATCGTGGCTTCAGACCTGTTGGGTGAATGGCTGGATGGGCAGGACCTTGCAAATTCCAGAGACTAGTGACTAGTGCCGGCTAGCACTGCTTCTCACTGCTGGCACCAGGACAACGATGTTGTCGTGCAGTCTGGCCGGGGGCCCTGTGTGAGATTGCGCGGGCAAGCCTGGGTTCTTTGATTTTGGTTTGTCAGTCTCCGATTACAAGGTCCTGTCGAGGGTGAATTCAGCATCGCTAAACGACATGAGCGGGATGCAGCGGCTCAGCGGGTTCACAAAGTCTGCTTTCAGGTCCCGAGCGTTCCCGGCCACTGACTGCCCGTTTGGCTCGTCGAGGGGGCCGTGAACAGGCCTTGCAGCCGAAGGCGTGACGTGGCGTGACGCTCTCGTATCCGCCTCAGGTGCTGTCTCTGCGGCGAGAGCCTGAATCCGATTGCTGGGCGTGTGGAAATGCTGCTTGAGACTCGGTTTCGCATGCAGAGCCTCCAAGCGTTGGATTGATGTGACAGTCAGGTTTTGGATAAAGCCGCCTCCACGACGAATGTCCTAGTCTGGCCAGGGCCTTGCCTGGTGATTCTGGATGCTTGTGCTTGCGACCAGACTTCTTGTTCTCAGGGCTGCATACGACGGCCGCCGGAGCGTCTGGCGCAGGAAAGAGGCTATCCATCTGTCGGAGAGAGCGGCAGTGATTCCACAGAACAGGGCCGCTTTTGCTGCCGAACTGGGCGTAGAGGTGTCGGAGCAAGCCGAGCCTAGCGATCTGCTCCCGCACGGACCCCAAAGTTCAGCAGCCTCGCGTCTCGCGTCATCCAAGTTCTCTAAAGACTCTAAAGCATTCTAAAGCTGCCCCAATGGCCCAAGGTGGTTGCTGAAAGCTCCGGCTTTGTTAGGCGGGACGGTGCAAATCCCTGTCTTTTCCAATGGTCGATCTCACTCCTGGAACACTGTCAAAGGTGCCTCCAAAGGAGATGAGGAACAACAGCCGCAGGCCTCTTGCAGACGTCGTGCACCTTTACAGGTTAAGTTGGATGTTCTGTGATGCTGCCATGCTGCCATGCTGCCATGCTGCCATGCAGCAGCAAAAGGCCAAAGCTGCCAACGGCCGAGTTGCAGAAGGCCTTGGCACCTTGATTCTGATGGATAATGATGCTCTTCCTGTGGATATGTGGCAAGATTGGATCCAGCATGGCATGGCAGGTTTTGCGCCGCCTCCACGTCGGCAGAGGAATTGGAGTTGGAAGCTAAGACAGAGCCGCGTTGGGTGAGGAAGGAGGGGCGGCTATTCCGAGGCTCGATCTCCATGGACAGCGATGTAGCCGGAGTGGGACGCCCGGCAGTCCGCGGGCCATCTGCCAGCTGAGTGACGAATCCTGGATTCAGGTTTTCGTCGGACAAGCGGACGGGGAGGACATGGCACACGTTGGTGCTGGCTTCGTCGATGATTGATCAACTATACAATACTCAATACTAATACTCAAAACCAGCGAGCAGCTGCCACGTCTTGGTGCAGTAAGCCACAATCAATTCTAACGCTTCGCCGTCGGCCTGACTGTCTTCAGCTCAGCGACCGAGTCTTGGTGCTCGCAACTGCTGCCGCCGCTCTTCCTGCTGCTGCTCATGCTGCTGCTGCCACCGCCGCTGCGATGGCCACATGCATGTCAGAACAGCGACGACTCGGGCCCTTCTGGGGCGGTGGACTAATCGTACCAGTGGTAGTTGGGAAGAAGAAGAAGTAGGAGCAGTGGTAGAAGCAGTAGTAGCAGTAGCAGTAGCAGTGGCAGTGGCAGTGGAAGTGGCAGTGGCAGTGGCAGTGGCAGTAGCAGTGGCAGTAGCAGCAGTAGTAGTAGTAGTAGTAGTAGTAGTAGTAGTTCAGGTGGATGTTGCAGTAGTCGTATTAGTAGTAGTAGAAGTAGTGGCAGTACTAGTCGTGGTCGTGGTGCTGGTGGTAGTAGTAGTAGC